AAGAGCAACATCAGAAAGAGAAGAACAATGGAACAGGCCATTCCTGAACTGTTCACTTGCACAGGTCCAAAAATCATGGTTGCTAGAAACCATGGTAGTGGAAGACTAAAACACAAGAAGAACAAAGTGTTAAACTTACAGTCGTAAACTGTGGCCCATGGTTGCTAGAAACCATGGTAGTGGAAGACTAAAATACAAGAAGAACAAAGTAAACTGTGGCCCATGGTTGTTAGAAACCATGGTAGTGGAAGACTAAAACACAAGAAGAACAAAGTGTTAAACTTACAGTCGTAAACTGTGGCCCATGGTTGCTAGAAACCATGGTAGTGGAAGACTAAAATACAAGAAGAACAAAGTGTTAAACTTACGGTCGTAAACTGTGGCCCATGGTTGTTAGAAACCATGGTAGTGGAAGACTAAAACACAAGAAGAACAAAGTGTTAAACTTACAGTCGTAAACTGTGGCACATGTTAAGCTATTGTACAAATTAGTGTACGAAGAAACATAATGATGCAAACCTAGCCGTGTTGTCCTTCAGAAACACAAACATCCATTTGCCACATTAAACAGGCAAAGAATTGCAAAGTGCGGAAAGCACGTGGTCACACATGTGAGTGTCCGTTTTTGTCCTTTCTAAACTAACTGTTTTCTTCAACAGAAGAATGTCAACTCCAATATCAATCGCTTGGCAACATATTATTTACCCCTCCGTCCAAAAAAAAAAATGTTTATTTCTTGTGCTCCTAATCAAGATAGTACACACCTGACATAATTGATCAAATCTGTTTGTCTTAAAATGAAACAAAAACTAACAAATAACACTAGAAACATTAGCCATAAAGAACTCAGCACTAGCTCATCGGTGCTGGATTTCTTGTTTAAAGTGTGATAAGAGAGAGAAAAAAATCAACGCTAGTTTGTTAAGCAGAAAGCCACACAATTGGTTATCTGTGCTCTGCCCACCACTGATATCGGAACCTGAATTTTATTATCCCCACCAGTGGCTCAGCGGTAAGTCTGTAGGCTTAAGTTTTCTAGTATCTTAAGTCTACAGACTTACCGCTGAGCCACTGGTGGGACTTTTGTAATATCTTAAGCCTACAGACTTACCGCTGAGCCACTGGTGGGACTTTTCGTCAAGATCCGGGAACTTGTTTACGCCTAAGATTACAATGCAATGATGGAACTTTGTTCATAAATCTAATCATTTTTAATAACACTACCAACCTCTATTAGGCATCACTCGCACTGACATGGTTACTATCTGTTAGGTATTTTATTAGCTAATATTGAATATGGTTTGCTAGTATTTTCCTTTGGCCTACGGCAGTTTAAATGCTATCACCAGCTCTTTCACTCCCTACTAATGACCTCTGACTGGTTAAACAGCGAAGAAATGTTGAATATATAAATTGTCTTGACTAAGAGTACTTGGGTTTATTAGCTTATTATTGTAGCTTAAATGTTTCCCTATAAACTGTTCCGTTTTTCCTACAACATACAACAGGAATTCTTGTTGAACAATGATCCTTAAAAATTTACTCAAGGTGTCTTAAAATGCATAATTTCATCCCTAAAATTTGTTCTTTTGGCATCAACTTTGTTTTCTGATTTCTTTGCTTTTTGTGAACTTACACATTGAGTAAATCAGAAAACGCGATGTCATTTTCTGGGCCTTACCCTCTTCCCTCTTAAATCCCCTGTTGCTCCCCTTATTCTGGATCAACAATTCCTGGAGCAGTGAATTACTTAGCTTATTAATGCAGTTATTCCCCTGTATGCTGGTTATCAGTAAAATACAGGAATTCCTGTACAACTATGAGGGAGATATTATCATTTTAATCCTAGAATTTAAATTGTCCCGAAGAAGCATGTTCCTAGAATTTAAATTGTCCCGAAGAAGCATGTTCCTAGAATTTAAATTGTCCCGAAGAAGCATGCTTTTGAACTTCCTAACCTCAACGCATTTGCTTGGTCAGACGTTCATGACTACAAATAATAGATTTTTTTTCTATCTTCTCCATCAAGTTGTATGCCTACTTCTACTTCTTCAATGATTTTAAAGATCTTCGGGTGGACTCCTTTTCTTCATTCTACACGTCCCTTATTGGACATTATGATTGTTTGGTTTAATTTCACGCAAAGCTACTCGAAGGCTATCTGCATTAGTCGTCTTTAGTTTAGCAGTGATAGGCTAGAAGGAAGGTACCCAGTTAACAGTAAACACCACCCATATCCAATTCTTGGGCTACTCTTCACCCTTGAATAGTGGGATTGACCGTTTTATTATAACGCCCTCACAGGTGAAACAGCGGGCATGTTCAGTGGTGAGATGCGAAGTCGCGACCCATAGATTGCCCTAATCACCATTCGGACATTAAGAATCATTTAAAATTTTAGTATAAACGATTAGAGCACTTGGTACATTTATCTTTTCTTAACATTTTGAAAGATGAAATTGTCTTGTTAATAAATATATCTCCAAGTAAGAGAAAAGATCGTAAGACATCAGTAAGAAGTCTGGAAATATATTAATAACATTACTACTCTACACTGTACCTCATCAGATACTTTATTTCGATAATAAAATGCATTTTAAAGCATTTATTGCTGCACTAAAATTATTTTATACCAATATATAAAGATCCGATAAAGACACATTTTAATCAAGTTTTTGGAACGCTTAATATGAGGAGTGGGTGGATTATGACTAAATTTGTAAGCTTTCACCAAAAGCTCATTGGAGCCACGAGCGACTCACTATTCTATTACCTATAGTTTTCTTCACAAACTCTTTGATTAAAAGAACTTTTATTTTTATTCTTTTTTTACAAAAAAGCAACAACAACACTTAATTTAGCCCAAACTATACGTACACTTTCTAAGTTCTTAGTATTATTCTGGAATTTCATAAAGTCTGCTAAGATGTGGTAGGTTTCTTAATATTGTAATATATATTATTTCTTGTATGTTATATACTCCAGTATAGATGAATTCTTACTACTCAGGGAACTTTACTCGATTATCTAACACAACAATTCAATACTGCTAATGGTAATCGTATAGATTAGAGGTGCTATCACTCATAAAATAAAGTATTCAGTGAAGATGAGAAACTGTGGGAACATGCTTTTTTTTTAAGTGAAATGACTGTAATCAGATTCTAATTTTTAATGATAAGTAAATTGTAATTCAATGAAATTAATTCATCAGTAACGGGTTTAAAGTTTGTGCATAAAGCGTGTATTTATAACAATATGTTTGACTGACACTCTTCCGCAAGTGTCAGGCTTTGAACCGAATAACGGGATTGATCGTTACTCTAATAATGTATCTTCAGCTAAACTTGCTGAGTGCATTCAGCAACACCACTGTACGAAAACTTAAGACCTTCCTATTCGCAGCCATAATATATTTACAACAGAACCAATAAACTTCCTCTACACTACCAGTGCAAATACCATAATCAGACGAGAACTACAAGATACTCAGTAAATAGTAGAATAAACCTACATCAAACAACAATGTGTATTTACAGAGAACTGAAGTATCTGTAAAAATATAATAGTATTGTCTCTTGTATGTTCATGTAACTACTTCACAGGGTGTGGAGGGATCTTCACCAAAATTGGTATGGAGGTACATAAAAATGTTCAGTTTTGCGGTTTTGTGGGAGTTTTTGCGTTTTTTACCACTACTTTGCCCCCTTTTGATGGATCTTCACCAAATTTGGCATGAAGGTTCGTAGGTTCCATGCGGAGATACATACAAATTTGCGGTTTCATATTTTGTGTTTTGCAGTTTTATGGACGTTTTTTACAATTACATATAGGGGAAGCAACTTTTCATATCCTAAGATAACCTTTAATTAATCATGAATTTACATAATTTCCGACTAGGGGACGGGTACTCCAGCTAGTAATCAATGATACGGTAAACAATGCTACACCAGACAACAGTAAGTACAATGTGATCAGTCAGGACCTACAGAATAGTCAAGAATATATTGAATAAACTTATATTAGGCAACAATATTTATAAACAGACACATAATCAACAATAGAGTAAACAATAAGGTGAGAATTGTCGTAGTTAGATAAACTCTAGTTTACGATTTTAATAAGTTGCTTCTCTTTTTTTTTCCATTTTCAATTTTAATGTACAATCTTGAGCTTTTATATTTACTTGGCATGCCGCATCATACACGGTCTACGTTTTACTCAATTTTAGCTTTGTACTTACCTTACAAACGTAACCTTTATATGATCAATACAAGAGTTTATTTATTGTAGTATGAATGTAGTGTCATCCTCAGGTAACACATTATCACAAGTTCTTTGCCAGTTTACGAGAACCAAATGTCTGAAGACATTTACTTTTGATATTTTGTAAATAACGTGTATAAACACACTCACAGTATTTGAAATGCTTACCCCATAGCTACATCAAATATATTGCTTCCAATAGAACTGGAGACAGCCATATCCCCAAATCCTTTGCGGGCCACCAAGACACTAGTAATTAGATCAGGAATACTTGTTCCGGCAGCCAGGAATGTCAAACCCATAACCTGATTCACGTACAGACAATAGTTTTAAGAAAAGTCTAAAAAAAAATAAATAATAATTACATTTCATGGAAAAGTTTTCATTAGATGGGTTGTACCTGGAACTCTATCATCCTGTAAAAAAACACACTGAACAGACTCCAAATTCTACTGGAAAATTATACCAGTTGTATGATTAACAGAATGAACACACTGATTGGATGAATCTCGGTTTACTTCACTTGGAAAATAACCTTTTATCTTTCGCTAAAATACAGGTTACTATGATAAACTTCCCTTGACAATGTTTTAGGATTACAAACGTTTGCTTTAGATAACGACGCACTTCTCATAAAATTTGGAGTTTGGAAGTTGTACATTTTTTTCAATTGAGGTTACTAAAATACTAAATACATGCTCTCTATATTAACACTAAATCCTAAAGTTCGTTCGGGGTAAGTCTTGCACTCTAGGGGTGTATTATAGAATGTCACAAATGTAGTTTTTTAGTGTAGTTGTAAACTCTGTAAAACCTAATCCCCGGAGGTGGTAAATATAGAGTTACAGCTCTCCTGGTATAAATTAAGTACTAAATTTCATTTCGCAATAAAGTTTTTAGAGATAGTATTTTGCTATTCTAGCTGTTCTATTGATTTTTTGCATCGCTCATTCTCTCTCTCTCTATATATATATATATTGTTACGACAGCGGAGGTCACGTTACCCTAGTAACACGTCATACGCTTCTAGAAAATTCATGTCCCTTCTTGAAGCCTCGAGTGTTTACTAGATGTACGGTATTCTTGCATATAAGACCGCCAAGAACTGACGGCAACAATGTAATTGAACTGCAGACAGAGAGAGACTGACGATTGAGTCGAGCACGTGAGTCGTTCGTTGTGAATTATAGCGTTTGTTATAGCGTGACTGTGGAAATTAAATGAATTTCAAAGTTGTATTCAGAAAGAATAAACCAGTTTTATTTAAGAAAGGACTTGTATCGCTAAAGTTTCATTGGAAAGAAATTATACGGAAAACAAACTAACGACCAGAGACGTAACAATATGTATTTTGACTGCTGTAGTGTTTTATTCCCATAAAGAATTACCGAAACTTTGGCTAGGCAAGTTTGTGCTAGTTCGGAATTCCATGCTTAGCATTCTAAGACTGAAAACTAGTGAAAGAAAATGCCAACTCCCCTTGCTTTGAAAATGTTGCGTGACAAAAATTATCGATAAACATCACTAATATTCAGGTTATTTTCGTTTTTATTTCTGCTACACACACTACCATATATATCACACAATGAGAATTGAGGTGTGACACCAAAAGGGCCATACCAAACCCTAAAATTACCTCACTTGTAAGTTTAATACTAATATGATATTCGTTCAGTCACTAAAGTAAACACAGGAACTGGGGAATACTACGATGTCTAGTCGTGAAGATGTTATTTATGAAACGTTCACACATAAAAATTTATCATTCTGAAAATTTTGTTTCAAGTTTTGCACAAAGGTGTTGGCTGGTAATTTGTTTGTTTCTGGTTAAACACAAAGCTATATAATGACCTATCTGTGCTGTATCCATCACGGGTATCGAAACCCTGTTTTTATCGTTGTTACGTCTCCGTTCGTTAATTGATTTTTCGTAACTTCGTTCCGACGAAACTTTAGCGACACAAGTCCTTTCTTAAATAAAGCTGGTTTATTCTTTCCTAATACAACTTTACCAATACACTTAATCTCAACAATCCCTCTATAACAAACGCT